TGTCTCTATAGAAGCAAAATATACTATAATATGTCTAATCAATAGATTTTTACAATCGTTGTTTTAGGAAACCGTAGTGAATATAGATAAATACATACAAGTTAAGGATTTGTGTCAAGAAAGATGTTTTCTTATGTATAACAGTCTTTTCTCTTTTTTGCCTATTACATTGTATTTATACAACAATTTGGTGCAAATGGTTAGTTTTCTAACTTAGCTAATTATTTACTATAAACACTAAATTTATATGATATTAAATACACAAATAATCAATACATTATAAATTATTGCATATTTTACCATGTTAATTTTAAATCCCATGCACCGCGTGGCCAATCACTAGTTATGATGATTGTCAACTGTACGAAACAATAAACATCTTGGCAGTAAAGATTGAATGAAAAGTGTTCATGAATGTTACAAAAACCTCGAAGCAAATAACAAAATCAGATAACATCACAGCCCAATAGTAAGGGGTGTAAAGATGTTACAATGAAGCGTCAAGAAGAAGTCGATCGTGCAACCATGCCGGACCTCCGAGGGCAAGATAAGATTGAAATCTACCATCCCTAGTAACACTTTTAGCTATTTCCCGAGCAACTGAGTTAGCACCCACTGATTCCAGCTCAAAGGTACAAGAGACGAAAGTGGATCGGATCGTGAAAATGCTCATTATTAAGGCTCGGTATTGCGGCCAGGCATTAGGTTTATTCAAGGCTTCAAAGGCCGCTTTGCAGTCTAGTGCGATCATCACATCAGTGAACCGTAGATCCCTTAGACTTCGCAATGCCCAAATGACACACCACAGCTCTGCTACAATACGATCCGGAGCACCAACGAAAGCCTCACGAGCATGAAACCGAACCATACCAGTGTGATCTCTGGCAATCCATGCGCCCCCACTATGCAGGGTGCCATTCCTCCAAGAAGAGTTTATATTACATTTGAAAGTACCTTGTAATGGGGGTAACCATCGAATACACGCCTCCTGTAACCCTGTGTGTCGACAAGTCGGGTTCCCAGCGTCAGGGGGATTGTTAACATTCCTCTATGCGGTTGCATCTTCCACCGCCTTTTGTATAACTCTACTCAGAGCTTCCTGTTTAGCCGCATATAAAATGGCATTACGGTTCTTCCATATACTCCATAAGATCCAGGGGATAGAAGCTTTGATTAAATCAGTAAGAGCTGATCCTTCCATCATGTCTAACACAAGATTCAAATTCCGTACCAGAGAGTCTGAAAAAACAGAGTTAGGATTGAAAAAACCGGCTAAATCCCATAGTTGAAGAGCAACACTACACCCAAAGAGAACATGATTGATGGTTTCAGCTTGTGTTTGACACAGTTTGCAAGTCGTGTCCACCGTTAAGCCTCTGGTTCCCAGTCGATCAGCAACCGCGAGAGCACCAGAAACCGCTCGCCAAAGAAATAAACGTATCTTCGGTTGCGTCTGTAGTTTCCAAATTCTCTCTTTTAATGCATCTTGTTGAAGTTCTCTACTGCATTTTGTAGGTGGAGGAGGAGAAGGGTGACTCGATATAAACCAATAGCCACTCTTAACGGAATACGCGCCTTCTCTATTATAAGCCCATATAAACTTATCTTGCACGTCACCTATTTGAATCTCTCTAATTCTTCGAACATCATCAGGAGGAAATAGATCATGTAGCACGTCCATTCTCCATTTACCATCTGAACCAATGAGAGAGGAAACCGTGAGCTCCAAGTCGATCAAACTTTGCTTATTAACCGGACGTCGAGGATGCTCTGTCAGTAAAGATTAAAGTCATAAATAGGACGGTGGACCAAATTTGCCTTTGTTCCGTGTGTAACAAGCTATCTATCTTCTTCTTTTTGGGTAAATTGTCATTAAAAAAAAAACTGTATTTCACTTTGATAGAAGTGTCACATATATCAGTTTAGACGAATTTATAGTAGTATGGTGGAATCAATGAGTCTAACCAATTTTATATTTCAGTTTTGCAAATACAAACTCTTAATGTTTC